TTCGAAGCACCGCGATCGTATTTTTGAGCATTTCTTTCGACCAATCGACACGAGCCTTTTTTTGAGAGCGAGAGAGAGAGAGCGAGAGCGAGAGAGCGAGAGAGAGCGAGAGAGAGAGAGCGCGAGAGAGAGCGCGAGAGAGCGCGAGCGCGAGCGCGAGAGAGCGAGAGAGAGAGAGCGAGAGAGAGAGAGCGAGCGAGAGAGCGAGCGAGAGAGAGAGAAATTGTGTGGGATCCAACGCGAACAAACATTTTTGAGAGTCACGTGTTCATGCAATTTATGTTTCGGGATTCGGCAACATTTGGTGTTGCAATCGCAACTGACAGCCTCTATGCTAAAGTGGATGTTTTAGGTCTTATACGTACTCGGAACGTTTTGGGACATACGAGCCTATTTGTGTTTACCCCAGTAACTTAAAAGATTGCATCTTAGGCCCCAAAAATGGAATTAAAAATCAGAAAACATTTTGTGCGATTATTTTGACAACTTTTCGCGACGTGGTATTAACTCAGCCACAATGTGCATGAGAACTTAATTCAATTTTTTGCGATGAAAGCTCCATTCAAGGACCACTGTTATCGATGAGTATGGCTGAATTCAACGTGGTCTAGTTCACTCCAAGACTGAATTTCGCGAAGGTCTTCGCCAAAATCAGTTGTTCCAAAACCATTGATGCTGTGCTGTGAAACTGGATATGCAGATCTCTTGTGACTATCGTGAGATTAGAGTCAACCTTAGGCATTAGTGGACCAGCATTTACATTCAATATTGCGATGAACAACGTACTCTCAAAAATGTTTTTCGCGTTGGATTCACGCACACAATTTTCTCTCTCTCTCGCTCGCTCTCTCGCTCGCTCTCTCTCTCTCGCTCTCTCTCTCTCGCTCCTCTTCGCGCTCGCGCTCGCGCTCTCTTCCGCTCTCTCTCGCGCTCTCTCGTCTCTCGCTCTCTCTCCTCGCTCTCCTCGCCTCTCTCTCTCGCTCTCAAAAGCTCGTGTCGATTTGGTCGAAAGAAAGCCTCAAAAAATACATCGCCGTTGCTTTCGAACAAACTCGTCTATGACATCTGTGCCAGGTGATAAATCGTGATTTACGCGTATGAGCCCGAAAGTAAACAGCAGTCGACTGGATGGGTGTTTGCAAGATGAGAGCAAAATCCAACAAAAAGTTGTTCCGCGCACGGAAGCACTTCAAAAAGATGGTTCGCCTGTTTTTTTCGGAAAAAACTGGACATGTTCGCAACCCGTACCAATAGAACAATGGAGAAAACCCCAGTTGTCCATAATTTGCTCAATTGGATCAGGAAATTGGACGAAAACCTGATCACGTTGGGGGTCAATTGACCCAGAAGCTGAAGTACAAAACTTGTTACAGGTTCTTTACAGGGTGTATACAACCCAAATGGTTAAATAATTTACATTTAAATGTCCGTTAAAAAAGTAATTATTTACTTTCCCTTTTTGGATGCCTCGGTATTGTTTCTAATTGTTTATTAAGAAAAGTTGTTGCCTTGCAGAAAAAGTAATTGTAAACTTGGATTTTTAAAACTGATCTTTATCTCCGAATTTGAAATTCGGTTTAGGTTGTGTTTCAATTTGGCGGGTCGGAAAAGTAAAAAGTGAGGTTGTTTTCCTTTAAAAAAAAATTTTTAGGGTTGTTTTTTTTGATTCTTTTTAACAAATTTGTTTGTTTTTTGTGTGTGAACACAATTTTGGTAGTGAAGCTTGTTGATATTGTTATTTGATGGAATATGAATTACTATGTTCCAAGGTAATCTCCTCTC